TTTTGGGGTTTTGTTGTTCTCCCGCCCTGGCGGGGGGTCGGGCTAGAAGATCTACTAGGTCCCTTCCGACCCTAAATCTATGAAACTATGAAACTACTCCTCCCTATTTATTTGCCCAAGTTTCCACTTTTTATACGCTTCCTTTTTGTGATTTAGTTTACTGAAGAGTTCCCTGCTAAGCCAAGCTGGTCTTCTGCCATACTTGCTAGTCTTCCCGTGCTTTGGGATAGTCTGTTCAGACACTCTCAGTAAAGCTCCTTTGAAGTACAGCCAGCTCTCCTGGACTCCTCTTCCCCTCAGTCGGGCTTCCCAGGGGATCCTGTTTACAAGTTCCTGAGCAAGTCCAGGTCTGCTTTTCTGAAGTCCAGGGTCCTTACTCTGTTGCTCTCCTTCCTTCCCTCAGGATCCTGAACTCAAATCATCTCATGGTCACTGCTGCCCAAGTTGCCATCCACTATACTACATTCTCCACCAATTCTTCCCTGTTTGTGAGCAGTGGGTCAAAAAAAGCATGGCCCCTAGCCGGCTGCTCCAGCACTTGCACCAGAAAGTTGTCTCCAACACTCTTCAAAAAAACTTCCTGGATTGCCTGCGCACTGCTGTATTGCATCCACCTCAAAAGTAGCAAGAACAGTCCCTTTCTGAGGACAATGACTTGGTCACAGCGTGCTCTGCCTCTGCTATTTGGAGGCAGATCATGTCACTTCAGCACTGGTCCAGAGGCACTGGAGCTGGCACAATGCCCTGGGATGATGTTTTCAGTGAGCCCAGCCATGAAATTCTCTGCAGGCAGTGGCAGAGACACTGGGGAGAAGTCCCTGAAGATGACCTAGAAATCTTCATCCCACCGAGTCCAAGCAACGTTTAGGATCCCAAGAGCCCGTGTCACTTTTGACAATAAGCAACAAGGGGCAACATTTTCCGCACAGACAAGGCAGTGTTCTCCCCCCCATCATAACCACATCCCAGAGAGTGGGGAAAGCTGGCTGGAAAAGTCATTAGAGTACTCTGCTTTTAACATGTGTATTGCCAGAGGATTTCAAAAGGTTAACAACCCTCCAGTGAAAAAGGAGGTAAAAAGGAGGAGGTTGAAAAATGGAGGTACAGATCTAGCCAGTGACTTCCAAAACCATGAAAGGAGGAGGGCCAGAAATAAACTTCACCTGCCTAAGCTGTTTGCTTTCCATGTTAACCCCCACTTCTTAATCATATCCCTGCTTGCAGACTTCCTTTACAGCAATCAGCACTTCTTCTGCCAAACAGCTATAGTATCTTGGATTTATTTTGCTCTTTTTTCTGTACCGATTCTTGAGGCAGCAAGGCTGCTATTCTGTCATTAAAACTGCTATAACACGCGGAAACACCACTCCACAGCTCTAGAGCAGCAGTTCTCAACCTTTTGCACCTTACGTCCCACCAACCATTTTGTCAAAAAACCCGGGTCCCACCATGATAAAAACAAAACCCCACAACACTGCACTGTTTGAGATATCTGCTGATTCATCTATTTGAAGTGCAAACTACGGACTTTTCTTTTTCCCCTTCAATAAGGCAATGAGCTGAAGTCCCACTTACATGACCTTCAAGTAGTTGAGAAACACTGCTCTAGAGGAGTGCTGTGTTACTGCTGAGAGCGCTTCCAGCCACCACAGGCAAGGTGCAGGTGCTACACACCCAGACACTTGCATGGCCCGTGTGTATTTTGAGACCTAAGGATCAGAAGCCTCAACCAGCCAAATCCTATCGCTACCCCTGCTTACTCATACCTCTCCATAAAGATCCTCCATGGGTCCTCTCTTGGACTCCCCTTCATTCAATCCCTTTTCAAAGCTATGTATTACAACACAGCTAGAGTAAAACGCCTCGATTCAGCTGATACTGTAAAAACAACCTTCACTTCTTCTGTTCCCCCTCACCTTCAGCAAACTTGTCACCAAATATTAGTTCTGCAAAAATCCCAACTCTACTGGGCCAGAGGAAAAAAAAAAGAATGCTTGGTCATACAGGAAACCACACAACACAGCAGCATGGTTCCTCTGATCTATGCTATTGTGCCCATTTTGCCAGGCAGATTCTGGGAATAAGCATCTCCCCTTCCCACTACCAGTGAAGTCTAACAGTCCAGAGTGCTCTACAAAATTAGAGTCTGAAACCTATATTCCCTTTCTGTCCCAGCTCACAGAGCAGGCAGTACTTTCCAACACAAAACCATGGATTTTGCTGCCTGGGGACAGACTGGAATGCTTGTTGTAAGCTGGCTTTTGTGCTCAGATCCCCCCATTGGTGCAGCAGAAGGATAATGGAGCTAGTAAAATGCCAGACCGTTGATGCTGCTGTGAACTAGGGGTATAGGGTAGGGCAGGAAAGATTTTTTGCATTTCTTTTCACTGTATTTATGCCTCAAGTCCATTTCAGCCTGCCAAAACTTCAGCTGTCGTGCTAAAGAAACCCTACAAATACAAATGTTGACACTGCATAACTAAAGTTGTTCAAGCAAGAGCTACTAGACTTCTAAAGGGGACAGAAATAACTTATCTGAAAGACTGAAAACACTGGGACTATTAACATTGGAGAAGAACAACAAAAAGGACACACAAGATAAAAAAAGCAACACATGATACAAGAAGAGTGATGGGAGGATCTCTTCTCCCCATCTCAGTCAAAACACATAAACAATGGGACATTTAAGGCCATAAATTCAAAGCTTACAAATAAAAAATCCTTCTTTACAGAGTGGGACTATGGAATTTGCTGGCACCGAAGATCACTAGAGCCAAGAACTTAAATGGACAAAAGGGATGGGACATTTATAAAGATAGCAATACTCTGAATGATCAGAATAAAACTGAAATATGTTGTAAGGAGACGTTTTGGGAAGTGCATGTTACCCCAGATTTGTCCACCCCTTGGTAGGTCCTTGCTCCAGAGACCTTAGAAAGCCTAAAGATACCACATGAAGGACAGGGAATGGATGAACCCATAAGGGAGGAAGAGAAGGCAGCCTACATTTTCAGCAATAAGGGAGATTTTAAAAGGGGTTCAGCTTTTAGAGAAAACTGAGACGCCATCTTAGTGGGGGGGGTCATACCCTTTTAGGGGTCTCTACTTAAACTTCATGGGTCCTTCATGATTGTGGAGGACCATCTTCTCCCACTGCCATGGGACACAGCACTCTCCACCCTACTTGACATCTCCTGTAATGAGCAAGGAGTGCTGAACAACATCTTTTTCTGAATTTGACACTTTAAGAGATTTACTGTTCTCACCAGGGAAGAAATGTTTCTTTTGTTATCTATGGCTGTCTTTGTTCTCACCCAGGGACATAACTGCATTCAAGCAATAGGACATTATGCCTAAATAAGTCTACCCTCATTCACAACATACAAATTACTGTCTTCCGGATCCATTTTGATGCCTGTTTTCTTGAATACATGTAGCTACTAGCTGACTTTTTAAAGTCCGTTTTTTCCGTTTACAGGTGCAGAAAAAGGTCCCTTCATTCCTGTTTTTACTCAAACTATCCATCTAATTCACCACTACATTTTATTTTAAAATGACTGAGGTTTAGAGACATCTTGAAGCATGAATTTTCATCTTCACAGCAGTCCTGCAAACAAGTCTGCAAAAGGACTGGCACTAAATCAGGTCACATAATTAGAACCCTATGAGAGAAGAAAACAGCAATTCATTGCAATCCTATTCATTATAAGATAAAAACAGAGGTATTTTGAGGAATGGGTCAACTGGAGATTAAGATAAGTAATTAGAAGACATTTTATCTAAAATTGCATGCCAAGTCTCCAATGCAGAGCTTTCGAACATGACCCTTTTAGCTGAAATTGGCAATTACTCAAACGTTAATAATCTCACTTTCCAGTTTGTGACACAGGGACTTGGGAAGACTCACAAGGACTGGAAGACAGGGACCACCAACTGCGCAGAAGCTGTTAAAATGAAGAGAGGATATGGTCCCAAGATCATGGCTGTAGAAGGGGAAGAGAAGTCAAGGGGAGCCTAGTGCTTGGGAGTGAGCATTAGCTGAACTGATGCAACACGGGGAAACAAGACAGACAAGAGTCAGAGTGGCGCAGCAAACAAGTACTGTGACTGTAAAGAGCACTAGGCTTTTGGTCCATCTACAGCCTCTTGGTACTTTGTCAACTATCATGTGCAACATTTGGGGTTTTACTGGGAGGAGGTCTGAATAGCCGGACAGCACAGTACTTTGGGCCCCTCGTGGTGATAAATGGCCCCTTCTGGAAAGTTAAAAGCAACCCAGGGCCAAGCGGTGGATTAGGCCAACTGGATCATTGCTTTCCCAAACCCATTCACATCACTGTTTACCAGAAGCTCATCCATGCTGGTCTGACATTTCTCAAGGTTGATTCGTTTAATTGCCACCTTCTCCTTTTTCGGGATACAATAGGCAGCTTGCACCACAGCAGTTGCTCCGCTCCCTGGGGAAGAGAGAAATGCACACAGTCAACACCTGTTCCTATACCCCCATTGCAGGACGGCAAAGTCAGAGATGCCAAAATTACAAACTCTGGCCACTGCTAATTGAAGATGAAGACCAGATGAATTCAGACCCTTGGAAAGAAGTTCCATGGTGTTAAGCTCTGCATAAAATCAGGATCCATATAATAGAAGTGCTGGGTTAGCAAAACAGAAATAATGCAGAAATTTAAGATCATTAGAACAGCATAGACAAAATGAGAGAGAAATCTTGCCTTTACTCACCCAAGTAGTCCAACTCTAGAAGTGAGAAGGGCAAGACTGAGCCCTTAGACAGGGAGCAAATATTGTCACTGGATCTCTTTAACCTAATATGTCCCACCTTATATTTTAGAAGGAATCTATTTATTTTTACTACCAACACTGCAATTAGAGACTTTGCAAATATTTATAAGTTTCTTTTCACAGCTCCTCCTGTTTGGGCAATGAAGACAATACTAGATTGTTTCATTAGAGCCTATTCATTCATTCATTCAGCTCCAATTGTCTGATACCAGCACAAAGCCTTAGGGTCTGGGTTGCAACACCACAGGAGAACATTGAAATTCAAATTTAAAAAAAGCTGTTTACAGCCATTTAGTGTAAAATTTGTTTAAATTCAGTTAAATAGGGTGATTTAAATTCTGTCTAAGCTACTAAACAGCATCCTTTTGGTATAAGAGAGACAGATGGTGTTAATAAGCTCTAGACAGATTTATAAGAGAACCGTAATAAGACAGGAGTTATTTGCTGGTTCCCAGGACTCGCTGAAATAACAGGGTTCTTCCATTAACGGGGCACCTGGACTATTTTACTTTCAACCCAACTCTTGGCTGCCTCCATTGGCATAACAATCCAAATTCATGGAGAGTAGGAAAAAAAAAAAGAGTCCCAAGATCTTCCCATTTTGTACAAAATGTATTTTGTACGAATTTTGCACACAAAATAAAAACGTAATTCCAGCTGTAAAAAAAGTTTGTTGCGTTTGACTAGTTCGTTTTGTTCACAGCACTAGAATGCTTTGGGGCTAGAGGAAAAGTCTCGACAGTTACATGAACAACCAAAACCATTTCAATTAACCCCAAAAGAACAGCCAAACATGCATCTGCCAAGAGCTTTGGACACAAAGGAGACAGCCCTCTTCTTTTCCCACAGACTTGGATACAAAGCGCACCAGGAAAACATCCTAGGAAGAGATACCAGGAGACCGTAGAGTTCATTAACCTCTCAGTCACACCACCGCCTCCATGTACCAACCCTCCTCATATACCCTCTCGCCTTAAAACCAGCCTCGTGTTTCCTCTCTCGGCTGCCCCTTTCCTCTCCCCAGCAAAGGTCCCAGGAGAGGAGGACCTCGGGGATGGGAAGGCAGAGTGCTCTCATTGAGACGCACACTCGGCACACGCGTGCACACTCTCGCTGCAAGCAATAAATACAGTTCATGAGAGATGCAGCCAGCAATCGCAGCTACTGGCAGCTCAGCGGTGGGAAAGAGCTGCCTCGCAGGAGAGGGAGGCCATGATGTTACAGCCTTCAGCTGCATCGGCTGTGCACGAGAGCCAACTGCAAGGGACAGTCAGTAATTTCAGATTAAAAAGAAATATCCAGGAAGCACAGTCGAGGTTTATTTCATCCATGATTCTGTTTGCACCTCTCTTCTCCAAACCAAGCATGCCCGGTGCTTAAAGCTCTCCTCCTAAAAGCTTGCTCCCAGGCACACATTTCCACCCCCCACACAAACCAAATTGTGCTGCTCATCTCTTGATCTTTGCCATTTCCATCACATCCAAAGCTGGATGATACTGCAGCGTTCAAGGCAGAGGTGTGCACAGAACCTGGGGCTTGCTCCGACCGCTTGTTATAGCAGCCTTGCCATTTGAAAGAGCCATTTTGAGGGCCAGCCCCAGTAAGAAATTGAATGAAACTGGTCAGTTTGGGGGGGGGGGGGGGG